AAATAAAAAACCAGTGGACCTAACTATACCTTTGGTCTTTGAATTTGGAAATAAATTTAGACTTACAGATAAACTGTAAAAAAACACCACAGAGACAGGGACTGTGACACCTCCTGCCTTGTCTTTGTAGCTGAGAACTGTTTTTGTTACTCTAGATATTTTTTGGTTCCAGATGAATTTTAGGAATGCCTTCTCAGGATCTCTGAGATATGCTAATGGCATTTTGATTAGGATTGCATTAAATCTGTATAACAATTTTGGGAGTTTGTACTGCTTATGTCTGTGGATTCAAGTTACTGAGATGATTACCAATAAAAAGAAAATGTAGGCCACATTTTTTGGTTATACATGTTAGGAATATGAACCAGTATATTTGACAGTTGTGGTTTTTTTTAAAAAAAACATTTTTTGGGGGGAGTTCGGTCATTTTTACTGTGTTGATTCTTCCTACTGAAGAAGCAACGGATATCTTTCCATTTTCTGATATCTTCTTCAATCTCCTCTTTTAGAGTATAGTTGTTTTCATTGTAGAGGTCTTTCATTTCTTTCTTTTCTTTTTTTTGGTGGAACCGGGGATTGAACTCAGACCCTTGCGCTTGCCAGGGAAACATGTATTTCACTGAGCCATCTCCCCGGCCCCTCATTTCATTTCTTGATGCTATTATGAAAGGCTCAGTTTCCCTAATTTGTTTCTCAGTGAATTTACTTGTGTACAGGAATGTTAGTAATTTTTGAGTGTTTATTTCTGTATCCAGCTACTCTACTGAATCTGAAATATATAAAGAACTTAAAGAATAATCAGACCCACCCCAAATTTAAAGATCCACTCTGAAAACAGGCATCTGAAATGAACAGACATTTCTCAGATAAAGTACAAACAGCAAATAAACAGATGAAAAATGCTCAACATCACCGCTAATTCAAGAAATGCAAATTAAAAGAAATGCAAATTCCATCTCACTCCAGAAAGGATGGGTATTATCAAGAAATCAACCAATAACAAATGCTGGTAAAGCTACACAGAAAAAGAAGCCCTTCTGTACTGATGGTAGAACTGTGGACTGGTGCAACCACTATGGAAATTAGTATGGAGATTCCTCAAATCACCAAAATTAGAGGTTCCATTTGACCCAGATGTTCCAGTTGTTCCCCTTCTATGTGTTTTCTCAAGTTACAAGTGTCATACCACAGTTACATATGCATACCTGTGTTTATAGCAGCACAATGTGCAACAGCTAAATCTTGGAAATAGATCATTGCCCATTAATGGAGGATAGATTAAAAAAAATGTGGTATTCATTTAAAATAGAGTACTACTCTGCCAAAAAGGATAAACTGGATTTGTTTTTAGGTAAATGGTTATACCTCTTGATCATAATTTTAAATGAAATAAACTGGACACTTAA